ACCAAAACCTTGCCATGCAAACCAAATACACATGGCTTCAGACAACATTTTTCTTTGGTCATTATTATATTTAAATTGCTGTTGGAACTTGCTTGTTTTTCAGTTTTTGATCTTCTTCCATATTCCAACAAGAGAGTGGTAACGAACTTCTTGCAACAAGCACTAGGCGATCCTACGCTGAATGACGTGTACGTGCTCTCAACATTCAAACTGCAGCCGAAGAGCACAGCCACTGTATTTGGCCTGTATTCGTTAGCTGACAACAGCAAGTATTTTGAATTTACGGTAATGGGACGGATGAATAAAGGTGAGTTGTTCAGAGTATGTAGGGGAAAACTAGTGTTGGATCCATAGTTATGAATGTGTCACAGATGGATGTTGAAAACTGTGTCATTAACCTTTGTGCTTGAGTCATTCCTGTTGCATGCTGTCACCACTTAGGGTCCCCCCAAGATAAAAATGTTGGTTAAATCCCCTTTTACTCCACTCTCTTTCCTTCCTCTCACTGGATGCTGCTCTCTCCTGGCCGGGGGAAGCTGACCTGACAATCAGCTGGTATCGCCACTCTGCCTGGTACTTGCTCTGAGCAATGCTGAGAAAGGAGGGAAAAAATGGAGTATGGAGAAGAGGAGTCAATTTGTTTTTCTCTTTTTTTTTTTTTTTCTTTTTCCCTTGGGACAATCACTGGTTCTTATTACTCAGGAATGTGAGGGACACACGCACATGCTGCCTCATGCATATGAAATGCAGGTTCTTGTTCTGCTGACCCTGGAGGTTAAGATGTTACGATGCTGGACAAACATTCCTAGCACTCACAAGATCTTTTGGATGAATTAACACGTTTGTTTTCCATTTGTTGAAATTAGTTAATAAGAAAGTAGAGTAGGAACTTCAGCAGACTTTTACAAATGCAGAGCTTTCATCGCCATCTAGACCAGATCTAGGATATATTGCAATTTTAAGGTTCAGCGAAAAATTGTCAAATGATGTAAATTAGTGTTGCTCCATTGACTTCACCACTGCTATGATAATTTTTTTGCTGCAAGTGTTGTAATTGGGCAGCTGAGTCCAGTAGACTGAGAAACTCTATTGAGAAAATTCAGTTTATACAAAGGAAAATTATTCTATCTGCTGAAGAAAAGCACAGCTTTTGCTTGATAAATGTAGAGGAATGAGTTAGATAAAATATTGGTAGTTTTATCAGATCTGCCAAAATCCTTCTGAGGTCATGGAATAAGAACTTTTGTGTTACATGTGTGTTGGGGGTGGGTAAGATGTGGTCGCACAGCCTTATCAGTGTCATACAATTCCTAACACTGACTTACATAATTGCTAAATAAATGATAGATCACACATATTCCCTCTCTCCCTCTCACACATGATTATGTGTGTAAAAGTTATTTGTGTGTGTATATATATAGGAATGCATATGTCTGTACACAAATATGTCTGTATACATACAATTTTGAACACGCAAACTCTTCTCTTGATTTTCAAGAATACCTACATGCCTGATGGTTACTGTTATGCTTTAACTAATGGACTTAAGAGGCTTTCTGGTGGAAGGTTTGATTTTGTCCTTAGTATGTTTGTGCTGTGTTTGAGAAGTGTCCATGACAGGATCGTGGCATATAGATAGGCAGCATGAAGAAAAATTGTTCTGTCAGTGACCAGTGTTGAGCAGATAGGGGACATCTGTAACTTACCTGTTGTAAAGGACTGATCAAACAGAGGGAGGCTTTTTGCAGCAAGGCAAAGACCATGGAGGCCTTTTTGCCTCCTTATTACTTTAGTACACCTTGTTTAAGGCATATGGCAGTGTTCTCATGTGTGATTTCTCTGGAAGTGTCAGGTGTCCCACATGGCTACTTCATACAGTAAGTTAAACTGCATGCAGGAGATTGTCATGTCTGCTGAAAGTATGGAGTGTGGGGGCTGTTTCTGATCCTCTCAAGACTGGAGATCATCACTGAAGTGGTGAGCCAATGTTGGCGTCTTAGCAAAATGCAGGGTCTAAACATCTATGGTTTTGGCAAGATGCATATGTGTATAGTGCTTCTTCTGCATGGTATTGCCACTTACGCACCCAAATCTGATCTAAGTAGCCCAAAAGAGGCCTTAATTACCCTTTAAAGTGCCACATTTGTGCGCTGTGTTCCAAATTGTTTGCTCATGTTCTGATTTTGTTGTGGTATGCCTGATAGTAAAATGTTCACAATGCCTACATGTTTTTAAAGCGTAGATCTGAATTACTGGGCAACTGCTCAATTTATTTTGGTTAGACCAACGTGCTTTTCAGAGGCAAATAGCATCTGTGGGTTTCTTACCCTTTTTGAATGATTCCTTTATGGAACAAACAGCAGTAAGTGCATAAAAGTGATGTAACTCAACAATTCTGTGAAGCAGGTCCTATTTACTGCCAGGATTAATAGTTTAATTGAAAATCTGTTTCTTAAAACAGTACAGGTGAGCCACTTGCTCTCATGAATGTCAGTGTAGAACATCCTAGCAGCAAACACATAATACAGGGGCTTGGATGAGTTAAATCTTACAGAAGCAGAGGCTGTGGTCCAGTAAAATCTGCCTTCAAAAGCCTACTCTAGTTTACCAGATGGATATTTGGCTTTGGCTGAGGAAGGAATACTTGATTGTCCATCCAAGCTAGACTGGTCCTTGTCCCAAAACTCTTCTGGCAGGGTCCATTCTGGGCCTCCTCTTTCTCTAGCTTACTGCTGCGTTTGGTCACTCTGAATGCAGGGCCCAGATCCAAAGACCTTGCTTTCCTGTGACCAAGTGTGCATAATATTCACATAAGTAAAATGCCTGCAACATACTCTGTCTTGCTAGATCTTTGAGTTTGCCAAGAAAGTTGGCAAAGTAACTTTTAGCAAGTTACTGGTGACCTCATGCACCTTTGCGGAAATCTCAGCTCTGGCAGTGTTTTGACATAGACAGCAGTGAAAACATTCCTGATATTGATCACAGCTGCTGAGACTTTAGCACTAGGGTAGACTTCAGAGATGGAGCCATACCCTGCCCCGCTCATGCCGGTATAAATCTGGATTCTTTTAATCATTAGACTGAGCAATTAGAAAAACAATAGGGAACATGTACCCAGTGACTCAGAAGGTCACCGACTAACAGAGCTATCACAGCATCGAAGAGGATATATTTAGTAGTGAGGAGATGGGAAGGTAATTTGTTAAATTAATAGAAATGAGATAAGTGCAGTAGATGTTATTAGCTGTGAAGCTAATATGAGTTTTTCCCTGCACTATATTCACAATTTTTAGTTGACCTCATGTTAGTGTAGGTGTTTCTTGAAGGTCAGAGTATTTATGAGTGCTCACTTGATGAAACAGTAGCAGCCCTCTATGAACTTCAAACAGATATTCACAAGAGCCAGCACTTAACTGTTCAGGTGCCCAGCCTCTGTGCAGCTTGACTCCTCAATGCACATGACTGTTATTATGAGGAAATAAGAGAAATGCAGGCTGGTGATGAGTGGGAATTTTAAAACAAGGTCTGTTTAATATTGTAGAGCATCTGTGTCTAGATGTACACAGCTCATTGCTTCTGCAGATATGCATTCACAGAGCCAGAGAGAGATTTTGTGGAGAGAACCAGCTAGCTGGTCTAAGAGATTTAGCTTGCAGATCATAGCTTACTGATCCAATTTCCTTAAGAAGGAGACATTTTTTCAATATTACACAGCATGTAAGAGGTTTTGTTTGTCTGCTGTTGTGGTTTTTGATGGTGCATTTTACTTCATAAAATGAGATATTGTTGTGTGAATTATCAAGTAGGTCGTTTGCTAATGCCTTAAAAAAAGAGTTGAGAGGGGGCTTTGTCATCTTTAGGGGTGGACTATGTCTTTTCTGCATTATATTTTGTTTTTACTTACTATTTGTTACAGAGAAATGCAGGTTATTGGCATGGAATCATGCTTCCTTTGGTTTCTTGAATGATGCATTTGGATATACTGTCCGATGACATCACTGAATGCAATATGCATCACTGAAACAGATTTTGCTAGTTGTGCATTTCTGCTACAGAGTATTTCTAGGTCTATTAGATATGCACTTGCCAAACTGCTGACTGCAGGCTGTCTGCCGCACCCTTTACCACTTGTATCTTAGCATGTTATACCCTGTAAAGTGACATTGGTTAAGCCAGTTAGAGGGGCCTGGACAAAGCAATGTGCAGGCAGCAAAGCTTCACAAGCAGGGAGTCACACAAGAGTCCTGGTAATCCTGGTCTGAAAGTCAATGTCCCGTTTATTATTAACATTCATATCTGCATATGGGATGCATTTGCAAAAGCTGACGTGGAAAAATACTAGAGCAATTCCAGATTTCCACAGGATCTTCCTTGATCAGCCTCGGGTCATTTGCTACACTCTGATAATCCTTCTGTGTATTTTGTACTAGTGGTGCTGCGCTATCTGAAGAGCGATGGGAGGTTGAATTCTGTGATCTTTAGCAACATCCAGCTGGCTGATGGGAAACCCCATGCTGTCATCTTGTGGCTGAGTGGCCTGCAGCAGGGATTGAGCACAATAGAGTTGTATATGGACTGCCTGCAAGTAGGGGCTGTTCAGGATCTGCCAAAAGCATTTTCCTCACTGTCTCAGACGGCGGCGGCGGTAGAGTTGCGTACTTTCCAGGAGAAGCCACAGGTAAGTGGGGAAAACTAGGAGCAAGCTGAGCACTTAAAGGGATCACCAGGGATCCTCTGGATCACTGAATCCACTCCTCAGCCCTCGCAGCAGCCAAGATTCAGTAAGACTTGAGTATTAACTTGTGAAATAAATGTAAATATAAGTCCCTATGGAACAGGTGAAATCTTAGCTTCATTGAACCCAGTAATAGCTATGCTATTTGTTTTAAATGCAATTTTTAGCTAATTTAAAAAAAAAAGTAAAAACCTACCACCTCCCTCACTTCAGTCCCCAGGAAACACCTGGACTAGACTTTTTTTGCAAGGACTTACCTGATGCAGCAAGGGCAGCTCTTTGCCAGCTTATTACAGCTGTTCAGTATGAGCAACCCTTGGCTGTGTATGTGGCTTTCCTCTTCATGATAAGCCACATGGACTAAAAAGACAAAAGAAGGGGAAGGACTCATGTGGTGCAAGAGTCCAACTCCCATCTATTTGACTACGAAAGTTTTTCTTCCTCTGTCTGCCACCCAGGGGTTGGCATAGCTTCCTGTCACCTCCACACTGTCAGTCTGAGGGAAACAGTATCTTCCACAAGCATCTTCCATCATCATTAATGCAAAATATGTATTAGAAGGTGCAAAGGCATTCTGCCACCAAGGTTGCCACCTTGCTTTGTTTCATTGTAGGCTTGAAAATGAGCCTGTTTGTATGGAGAATCACTAAGATACCCATGTTCCTGACTTGAATGTAAACCTGTTGGGGGGTGTGGGGGGGAGAAGGCTGCTTTGGATTCAGTTCAACAACAAAGAAACCCCTCATTCTTATATGCCGCAGATATAAAAATATATGAACTTCCTGGTATGTGAGATCATATGAATTGGAATAGTAAAAAACCCCTTCAAAATAAAACCACAGCTATGTGAAAATCTGCAAGGCAAAGATTGGGGATCTTATTACAGTTCAGATGGTGATGGGTGGTCCTGAAGGGGATGGAGCCCTGCATGCTTAGGAAATGGACAACCTTTCTAAAAAATTAATTTACTTTGTCTGCTATTTCATATTTTTTCCATCATTGTACCAGAATTGTGAGCTCTGTTTTTCTTGTGAGTCCAGGATACGCTAGACGAGCTGAAACTGGTAACTGGAGGAACACTTGCCCAAGTGGGGAACCTGCAGGATTGTTTTCTTCAACAAATTGAACCTGTTCCTCAGTACACTGGTAAGACCCGCAACCAGGAGTTAAAATTGTTCTTTAGGATACTACTGCAAAGAAGCTAATATGATGAATATTAAAAATGTGGAGAAGCTCTATAGACAGGTAATAACAATTGTTTGACTGAATTACAGCCATGATAATTTCCTGTAAATGTTTTAGAAATAGCTCAGTTCGGAGAGAAAGCATTGCTTTGTCACAGCAGCAGTGACTGAGTTGTTGTGAAGGAGGAGTCTCTAATGATTAAAAAAGGCTTTTTAGCTTAATTTGGAAGACAAACTTTTGTGATCGTGATCTGTTTGTGTCAGCTTAATAATATCTTAAGTATTCAAATTGCAGACAGGGAGTAGTCCTAAATGTGACACGCTGCTAAACGCTTTGTGAAAATAGCTAGATGGATAGAGTAGTAAGACCTATCAATGTACTTATCTGCCTGACCAGTATTCATCTTCTCTTGATCACTGGAGTGTCCTGGAGAGGGGAGGAGTAAGGCGTGAAGGGGGACACAGGAGACTGCAGAGCACGTTCGTGCTATGGCTACAGAGCCTGCGGGTCCACGTGGGAAAAGCCATTGCAAGGCAGCCACTAGTCCTGCTGCAAGTTAGCCGAGGCTTTTGTCACCTGCTGGACTGGAAAGCTGCTCCAAAACCAATTCCTTTTCTGCCTGTGCTAAGCATTGTGGAGACTGAGCTAAGGACAGAGGGGAAAGGAAGGAGCTGAGGCTACTGGGATTCCCGCAGGTCCCCAGGGGCTGGGTGCAATTCTCTGTGATGGGTGAGGGTGCTCTCTAACCTCCTGGCAGCAAACCTGGGCTACTCTGCCCCATCTGTATCCCTTTCCAGTCCCTGTTGATCTGCCTTTCTGCTGTGGGTGTGAGGGAGAAAAACGGGTTCACACTACGTGCAATATGTTAATGTGTCACAACCATGGGGGAAAAATAGTGAGTTCAAGGTTTGAAATAGGATCCATGAGAAGTTCTCTCTCTCACACCCTTTCGTGTCCTCCCCTGCCAAACCCAACCCTGCAGCATTGCTACTTTTGATTAGAATAGAAACTAGATACACAATTTTTATTTGAGAACATGCTGGGTACATGACATGAATGTAGGCATCAGTGGTGTGCAGAATCTGTTCTGCCTTTTAGCTGTGTAAATCCTCAGTTGCACATGCTTCTGTTTTCTTGCTCTTTAACATATATACACCTAGGCAAAAAATACAGTTTCATCACCAAAGATCTGTTTCTTTCCCT